AAAAGAGGAAGTTAAATTATCATTGTTTGCAGATGACATGATACTCTACGTAGAAGACCCCCTAAACTCCATTGAAAGACTCTTAGATATAATAAATAAATTCAGTGATGTAGCTGGATACAAAATCAATACTCAGAAATCAATAGCATTCTTATACACCAACAACAAAATCACAGAGAGGGAAATAAGAGAAACCATATGCTTTAGCAAGCAAAAAGTGACATATTTAGGAATTACTCTTATGAAAGAAGTGAAAGACCTATACAGGGAAAATTATAATACACTGAAAAAAGAAATTGAAGGTGATCTCAGCAAATGGAAAGACATCCCTTGATCCTGGATAGGAAGAACAAACGTTGTGAAAATGGCCATTCTCCCAAAACTGTTATACAGATTCAATGCAATCCCAATAAAAATACCATCAACATACCTTATAGATTTAGAGAAATCACTCCTAAAATTCATCTGGAACCAGAAGAGACCTAGAATAGCAAAGGCAATTCTAAGCAGCAAAGGCAAGGCAGGAGGCATCACAATCCTTGACTTGAAGTTATACTACAAAGCAACAGTAGTAAAATCAGCACGGTATTGGAATCAAAGCAGAGCCGAAGATCAATGGAATAGATTAGAAGATACAACCACAACTACAAACACACTCAAATAACGAAGCCACGCAGGTTCACTGGAAGAATGACAGTCTCTTTAATAAATGGTGCTGGAAAAACTGGCTCTCCATTTGCCAAAAACTAAAGCTAGACCCATGTCTATCACCATGTACTAAATTAAAATCTAAATGGGTCAAAGATCTGAATATTAAAACAGAAACACTAAATCTATTGGAAGACAAATTGGGTAGAAACCTTGAAGACATAGGAGTAGGTAGAGAATTCATGAACAGGACTCAAACCGCATGGGAAATACTTCCCAGAATCAATAACTGGGACCACTTCTTATTAAAAAGTTTCTGCATGTCAAAAGAAATCTCCAGCATAGTGAAAAGAAAACCCACAAACTGGGAAAAGATTTTAGTGAACTCTCTCTCAGACAAGGGACTCTTGTCTAAAACATATAAAGGATTAAAAAAAGTCAGACCCCCAAAATTCAAAGATCCATTCCAAAAATGGGCTTCTGATATGAATACTCACTTCTCAGTTGAAGAAGTACAAATGGCAAATAAATACATGAAAAAATGTTCATCGTCATTGGTCATTAGAGAAATGCAAATTGAAACCACACTGAGATACCATCTCACTCCTGAAAGAATGGCCAGGATCAAGAAAACCAACAACAACAAATGCTGGAGAGGCTGTGGGGAAAAAGGAACTCTCCTGCACTGTTGGTGGGAGTGTAGACTGGTACAACCTTTGTGGTTGTCAGTCTGGAGGTTTCTCAAAAAGCTGGGATTGGAAGTCCCATTTGTTCCAGCTATTCCACTTCTAGGCATATTCCCAGAAGAACTGAAAGCATCATACCACAGTGATATATGTGCACCTATGTTTATAGCAGCACAATTTGTAATCGCCAGATCTTGGAAACAACCCAAGTGTCCATTATCTGAGGAATGGATAAAAAAGTTGTTGTATTTCTATACAATGGAGTACTACTCAGCTATAAAGAAGGATCACATTGAAATATTTATTAATAAATGGGTGCAGCTTGAGACCATATTCATAAGTGAAATAAATCAATCTTGCATGTGTTAATACTGAATAGTTTCCCTAATGTAAGTAATGATTCAAATATATAAAAGTATGTGGTAATCATGATTCCCCATTATGTGGCCTTGAAGCCTTATAAAGTTTTCACTTATTAATTGGAAAGGCTTTATTGTGGGCTTCTTGATATGGAAATATTTGAAGCTGTAGTATATGAAGTTATACTCAAATATTTCAAGGAAAAAGATAGACACTATGGTAACTTCTACTAAATCGGGTTATTTGGTGGTAAAGCACTAGGTTGGTGAAACAGTCATGCTTTGACCTGTATTGTTATATTGTTGTGTCCTCTTTTATCTCAATCTCTCCCTTATTCACTAAAAAAATTATTTATTTATTTTTTATGATTTTTTTAATTAAGGGGAAAAATTTTTAAAAATTAGCAGGATATATAATAGTAACTTTTTAAAATTTCCTATTAACTTGTTTTGAAGTCCTGTAATACTCCCACGGCCTTGTTTTGACTGATTAGACTCTGTTCCATTCTGTATGATAGTATCAAGTTTGGGGGTATAGGCAACTACTTTGAAGGCAATAAGATTCACTAAGATGCCCATTCTGGTTTGACTATTATCTCCTTTGGAAGTCCTGTAATGTTTACAATGCCTAAGTTTTATTGGTCTTGTTCTCTACTGTTTTGTTCAACTTTATAATACCTAATGAGATAGACAATTCTTAAGGAAACAAGAGACATTATGGTAACCACTGTTGACAACCTTGTACTCTGTTCTTACATCATGTACTATGTCTATCCTTGGTTTTGACTGACAGCTTTGTTTTACCATATTTGACTTTATTCTCTTCCAAAAAAATGTAGTAAGAACTAAGGAGTAATAATACCCAAAATGTGTAAATTTTGTTGTAAAAAAGAGAGGGAAAAAAAGTGTTCTAAAGGATACAACTGCAGGTGTGTTTAGTGTTGTTAAGTAGCTGACCATATTAATGTTTTTGGTTGGATCATTGAACAAAGCTGTTTGCAGTCTCTCTGTTTGTTTACTTTGTATGCTTTGATACTGTGATTTGAGCAACTATCTCTAAGACGATAATGTGTAATCTATTAACTGGTGATTTCTTACTGTTTTTTTTTGTTTGTAGTTCCGTATTACTTGTACCCTTGCACCGCTTTGTTTTCTTTTGTTTTTTCTCTTTTTCCTTTTAAATAAAAAAAAAAAAAAAAAAAAAAACGAAAAAGACCAAATAATAAAAAATAAAAAAAAAATAATACACTGTTCTGTCAGGCCAACTTCCAAAGACTTACTTCATGGGATTATCAACAGTAAGTGTAAACATAGCTTATCAAACAAGAAAGTAAAGAATTTCACACACAGAAAACACTCATACAATGACTAATTTTACCAAAAACAAGTATCTCTCATTGGCTAAGCTAATATCAGCCTATATTTGTATATATATGAGTATTGTTAGTTTTAAAAATATAAAGAAATGCAAAATAAACTAAAAAATTAAATAAAAGATTAAAACACTTGCCTAAAAGAACTCTGAAAACTGTCAATGTTTTGACATAATGGCCTCACTACAAGTATCTATTAAAAATTAAAACCTACATGGTCATAACATTAGTATAATATTTTGAAAGTTATCAGTATATGCATTGGTCACTTTTTTATTAATCAGAAAAATTGTCTTTATGGCTTATATTACCTATAAGGCCTAAATTTTCAAATATGCCACAACATTTCAGCCAAAGAAACCATGATACAGTAACACTGTGCACACACACATGGATACACACACACACACACACACACACACACATACAAAGTGAAGTTCAAAGTAAGGACTAGAGCTCCTCCAAAAAGAACCACAGCCATTCTCAACAGTAGCAAGTTCCCAAGCTCCTCTGATGATAACAGCAGCGTTCATATCAGGAAAACCAGTGTAATACATTTCTCCAGAAGAGTCAACAGCCCATCTTCTGGTCTCCAGTCCTCCTTCTTCTCCTGTTGACAATAATTATCACGTGGGCTATCCCCACCCAGAACCATGCTGATTCAGTTCAGCTGGGTTCTACTAGTTGAACATTAGTTGATCTACTGCAAACACACACACACACACACACACACACACACACACACACACACACAATATTCATTCCAGAAATCTTTTAACTCATTTAATATGGTTTCTAGAGTTAGTAGCACAAAAAAGTGATAGCAAATGCTGCTTAGAGTACTTTGTCCAACAGTAAAGAAATATAAACAACAATACTGTTCAATTTGATTTGGGGTTTTGGTAAGTGACATAAATACTAGCCGTGGATGACATCAAGTGTACATGAGGATAAATCATAGAGTTATAAAATAACTAAAACCTGGTCAAGAAATTTATTATTGGGTTGCAAATAAAGAAACAACTTTCAAGTAACAAATAATCATATAAAAAGAATGTCAGTGAAAAGAATAGTCAGCTAACTTGTATCATCTCTGCTATAATCCAGGACAGAATTTGAAAGACAATTGAAAGCCACACAAGTGATATATTGCCAGAAGGCATAAAGATTCAAATGAACAAGAAGTCAGGGATTTTATTTTTCATATTTTTAATTTAAAAATGAAGAAATCTGGTTCTCCTTATTAGATATATAATCAAAATATTTCTGTTCCTATTAGCATCTATAAAACAAATAGGTTAAAAAAGGGTATTTCAAATTTCAGTTCTATAACTGCACAGTGCTATATTATAAGCAACGATTTTCAAAATAAAGAACACAGAAGGTGACCTAATGCTGAATACACATATAAGGCAGTAGGGATCAAATGAAGTTTTTCTGACAGCCTTTGGCTGACACTTTGAGAAACAAACCAATTCAAAACAAAGGAAATATGAGGGAAAAAGAATAGAGCACAATTCTCCAACACTAAATTGCTAAATATGTTTGCTATTTGGCAATTTTTGTAGGATTATGGATATTGGAAGTGCTGTGTTACTCAAATCAACTTTAGCTGGAAACATTTCACAGTCATTATGAAGATAATGAGTGGAAAGAATTTCTTAATTTCTTCTTTGAAAATTACAAAGGTAAATATACTTAGTGCTCAGAGTTAGTTACTTTATATTAAGCATCCATCACAGAATCTACAGTATACAGGGCTCCAAAAGTAGCTTCCTATATCTGTATTGATTACACTACTGGAGACACTTGACAGTATGGTAAATAACTAAATGTATGCAGTTCATAAAGTCAGTAGTGATTTAAAATTTCATTCACTTTGTTTCTCCGTTGACTTTGCAGATAGAACTACATATCTGTTATTGTTAACGTATTTAGGAGATCTTTCGGTATCTCACAAGCTGATAGCAAAGCTTCCTCATTGCTTCCTTCATCTCCTTGTTCCTGAAGGTATAGATAACTGGATTCAGAAAAGGAGTGAGAACAGCATCAAAGATAGCAAGAAACTTGTCCCATTGTGACAAAGGGAAGGGCCAAGTATAGAAGAATATTAGTGGTCCAAAGAATAAAACCACCACGGTCACATGAGCTGACAAAGTAGACAGGGCCTTGGATAAACCAGCTGAAGTGTGTTTCCAAACAGTGACCACAATGAAGATGTAAGAAATGATCAGCATGAAGAAGGACCCAACAGAAATGAGCCCACTGTTGGCTGTGACCATGAACTCCAGTCGATTGGTCTCTGTGCAGGCAAGTTTAATGAGCTGAGGAAGATCACAGTAAAAGCTGTCCAGTACATTTGGGCCACAGAAAGGTAAGTCCATAACAAAAGCCAACTGGGCCACTGAGTGGATAAGGCCAAGGATCCAAGCTGTAGCCACAATTAACAAGCACGTTTGAGGGCTCATGATCAGCAGGTAGTGCAAAGGTTTACAAATGGCCATATATCTGTCAAAGGCCATACCTATGAGCAGCACCATTTCTGTGCCACCAATTGCATGAATAAAGAAGATCTGTGCTATACAGCCACCAAAAGAAATGGTTTTATGTTTTCTGAAAAGATCATAAATCATTTTGGGAGCTGCAATAGAGCAACCTCCGATGTCAAGCAATGAGAGATTGGCCAGCAGGACGTACATGGGGGAGTGAAGTCTAGAGTCATAGGTCACAGAGACTATAATGAGGAGGTTTCCCATCAGACTTGCCATGTAGAACACAGAAGAAAAGAGAAAAAGAAGGAGCTGGATCTTCCACAAATTGGAGAGTCCTAGGAAAACAAACCCAGACACCACAGAATAGTTGGCACCATCCATTGCCTGAGAAGGTGTGTCTAACATTGCCTGAAAAAGACAGTAAAGAAAATGAAGTTTGGCAAGGAGTCACTTGCTATGCATCAAACTGTAAAGGAAAAACTTCCTCACAGATCCAAAACAACTTTCCATAACCCTTTGAACTTTATTTGCAAAAAAATACATCATAACTCATCATTACAAGCCATGTCTTCTAATTTCTCATGCTTGCTAAAATATTTCAGATTTGGAGACAAAGTTTAGGAGAAACCAAATAATGACTCCAAAGAAATGTTATGAGGAAAAACAGAAATGCTGATTTTTCTGCACAATTTGTTGCTAAGCCAGTGTAGCTCCCCAAACCTCAGAGATTTCTCATCAGGTTTTTATCCTCTTTGATTGCTCCTATGTGTTTGGCCATTACTCTCATTTATTCTCTCAAGTTAATCTTCATTCTATCCCTGTTTTTGAAATGCCATTTACTTTTAATACTTCAATAAGTTCACAGTATCCACTGGGCATGGTAGATATTTCATGAATGCTGATTTTTAAAAAAATTTTCAACAAAGGTTTTCACTATGTAATTCAAGCTGGTTGTGAACTTACTATATAGACCAAGATGACCTTGATTTTCAGTGATCCTTCTGCTTCAGTCCTTCAAGTGCTGGGTTTACAGTTGTTCACCACCATGCCATTTAAATGTTGATGAATTAAAGATGATTATTATAAGTGGCAAATAAATGGTACAGTAACTAAATAATAAAATGCTAATTGAATCATGAAAATGTAAAAAGGAGAGATTGATGTGAAGAATGGCCACAGATGTGATATGAAATATAATTATCTGCAAAGAGAAGAAAAGCAGAGGTGAGAGAAGATAATGTGGAAACCCTACAAGTATCCCACTGTAGCATCTCAGTCTAAGCCAGGAAAGGTGCTACAAAGTTTAATCTGTGATTGCTTAGCAAAGACAAGATCAGAAAAGAGATTTAAGAATGAAAATTTAAACATGAATACAATAAAAACAATGTAGAATTGAACTTTTTTTACATGACTGATACTGATAGAAAATTGTCCAAATCACGTCAACATTTCACAGTTCATGGAAAAGTCGAGAATCCATTACACTTGCATTTAGAAAAGTAAGACTCAAGTCCTTTGAGAACTTCACTTAGTTCTTTTTCTTTTCCCTGAACACTCAACTCACTGCTTGAACTTTCATTATGTGTAAAATAAAGGTATTGAGGCAGGTGATATTACTTACTCCTTTCAAAAATATCATGTTGAGTATTCCATAATGCAAAACTATTGCAGAATGTAATAAAGTTCACTCTATGAGGATATTCTTCTCATTAGACTGCTCTGTATTTCCTGTCCCATTCCTTTTTTGCAATGTTTTGTATTCATAGAAGACTTTCTCTTCACATTAGCCTCTCCCTTCTCTAATTTTTCTGCTATAGATTTAGCATCTGTTTTACATCTTTAATTATTTACTTTTTTAAGATAATCATCCATAATCAACAAATCTTTGCCATGCCCACTGGACACAGAAAACTTACTGAAGATTTAAAATATTCATGACCGCAAGGCTTCTATGTTTGCACACACAAATAAAATATAAATAATACAAATGTACTATACTTAAATTTCAAATAATTAATTATATCATATAATTTCTGAAACAAGTCATCTCTATAAATCATCTTGGTTAGTGTGGTCTTCAGAGAATAAATCAGAACCTGTACTGCAGATTAGGACATTGATCTAATTTATGTAAATACATAGCCTCATATTTGAACTTTAAGAGTTATTGTAACAAAAAATAAAAATAAAAAAGCATTATTGTAATAGGGAAAAATCTGGTCAAGTGCTTGATAAACTATCTTTCAAGCTAATGATAACAGACAAAAGCAAAACAGTAACTACAGTATGCAACAGAACACAATTACTTCTTTACATATCCTACGTTGTTTCATATTTGTAGAAACTCATCAAATTGCTATTATTAATTCATTTAATTAATATAGAAATTAAAAACAAAAGAGAACTAGTGCATCAGCACAGTAATGGGCACAACAGATACTGATACTCTAGGTCACCTCTTCTCCAATATATGGACAAGGCACTGTTTTTCTCTCTTACTTCCCAGCGGTGTGAAGCGTCCTTTACTCTCTTTCTCAGTGTCCCCTATTCAAATAACAGCACATCAAGCTGATCTGACTGAGACAGAAGGCAAATTTGTCAAATGTTCTCAAGTACCTGGGTTTCATAGTCAACATCAAACTCAACCAGGATTAATTCTACCTTTTTAAACAAAAATGAATGGTAGAACACAAGTCCATATGTGCTGCACTTTAAATCATCCAGGTTGAATTCCCAGACAGCCATTGTCTTGATCCATGTGGAGTCTTTCAAATTTTGATTAAAAAGATTTTGTTCCTACTGCTCTCTAATGAATAGAGAAACAGAAAGTAATGTTCTCATGTCAAAATAATGAAAAATGAAGCCCACAAATAAGACAAGTGCATTCTATTCACATTTAAACATTAGTTACTAAACATTCTATTTCCCTTTTTAAAAAATGTGGTATAGAAAACAGTTAAAAAAGAAAGTAATTTCAACTTCTACTTTCATGTTGTATTTCTTCTCATTGTACTGATCCATACTCAGCCCAACCAAAGTTCCTGCCAGTCTAGTTATAGTTGCATGATTAAGGTAACATTTTGTTGCTTTTCTGTAGAAAACAATTATCTCACTAGAAACATCCTTTTGAGATTTCAACACTATAATATCTTTAACCTATTTTTATATATACCAGCAATATGCCTCCTTAAAGGTCTATGGCATAATTATTTTTAGACAATCACATTTAATCATCTTCTGGTTTGAGCTAGCACTATTCTCTAGATGAACATCTATAAAATGCTATTATTCAGGTGATTACAGCTAATTGGGACACAGGAGACAAAACTGACCAAATGACACTACAGAGACTTAGCATGGCCAATATGAGCTCATTTATCCACAGGAGTTGTAACCCAGAATTCCAGAAGTGGAAATAAGCCATGTAAGAGTAGTGAGAGAGGAAAGACCATAGATGTAAAGACATTAAAGACTAAAATATATTAATCTTAAAGATTCTAAAACATAAGCTAAACAACATTTTCTTAAAAAAAGAAAAAAGTCAGAAAAGAAAAAAAAGCAAAAGAGATAAACAACAACAACCCCCCAAACATAACATTTTCTTTTTTTGAAGTGCACACATATACTCCATTTATGTAACCCTACATGATACCACAATAGACTTCAAAAGTGAAAATTGGCTTTTGTCATTCCCTTTCCCTCCTCTCCCTCCTACTGCAAACATATGCCAATAAAAATATAAAAAATGGAAATGATACAGAATCTCATGCACTCTAATAATCTACAAAAATAATTTAAGAGCAATGTCAAATAAATAAAATAAATATTAAATAATTTAAACTCCTAGACACAATACAGAGATACCTTTGTAAAAATTGGGAAAACTGCCAAATGGCTAGTGTATTATGTGGCATTAGTAATTTGTTATATGTTTTTTAAAAAACTATAATTTAAAAAAATATATAAATGCACAATATTTTGGAAGTATTCACCAAAACAGCAGCAAAAATATTATGGAATATTAACAGTGTGTTCCGTGGTATACTCAAGGTCCTGGGTAACACTATAAGAAAATACAGTTCACAGAGATTGTGATATAAAACTGTTTTGGTTATAGAAATAAAATAAAAGACCCTCAGCCCTGGATCACCTATGCCCCCTAGCCACATGCTTCCCATGCATGTCCCACAGATGCCCATACCTATGCCAAGGGCCTGCCCCTCGGCCTCAGATCACCTATGGATGCTACCATACTGTGTGTTTCCCATGTGCCCAGTGGACACCCAGATCGAGGACAGCAGACCACCCATCAGCCCTGGACCACCTACATTATCACACCAAGAAATTCCTGCCTACTCCACAGACACCTGGAATGATAACACTGGCCTACTCTCAGGGACACACCCACCTCTGGACCTAATACTGCCTTGATCTCTGGCTCCCACCCTTTCTCACAGAACCTATGGCAACAGTGGATTAACAGTGTTAGTTTGATGGGAGATTCAGTAACCCCTCACCCAAACAAAAGACCTCAAGAGGCTTCTGTCAGTGTGGTGAGTAAGCTCCTAAAATAGAATTTACTCACTGCAGTGAGTAAACAGGGGTAGTAGTAAAGCTCCCTCCAACTAACTGTAAGACCTTGATGAGTTTGGCAAGAGTGTGGATGATTCCCTCCTCCACACAGAGAACATCAGGCAAGGTGAGGAGTGTGCTAATAAAGCCTCCCTCAACTTGGAGAACATTCAAAGGGCTTATGAGACACACAGGCACACAGCAGAGACACAGTAGGGCCTCAGCCAGCACAAACACTATCAACAGGGTGATTTGGTAACCTGAAATAACCTGAAGACAAAGTGACAGCAGGAACTAAGAGTTGACCTATATCAATACTCCTAGGCTTGTAAGCCAACGAAGAATATAGGACTCACCAAAAAGGCCCTACAGAAGGCATTTAGATGACTGGACCTCCTCATCAATGTGGCACTCAGCAATCAGACAAACATCCACCACAGAGTAGGACCCTAAGATCCACACTACATATAGTTGAGACCATTGGGATTGAAAGATCAAATATTTCTCCAAAGGATGAAAATTACAAAACAAAACACCAAAATGCAATCTCAAACATCAAGCCCATTAGCAGCAAGTATGGATGACATTGATTTAGAGAACATTAAAAGTCATACCCCAGAAATTTCTGAAAAGACAGCAAATGAAATAAAGAAATAAATCCATGAGGCTATAAGAGAAATCAAATTAGAAATAATTACAAACTTAGTAAACGAGTTGTACAGCACAGCCAGAGAAGATATAGATAAAAAAATATAGGAACATGGGAAACTTATTGAAACCCTGAACAATATAGAAAACAAGCAGAATCTATGAAACACTTTCAAATAAATATC